TTTTTTAGTTTTCGGCGGACACAACATCTTTGTATGTGGTGCTGAGGATCGAACCCAGGCCGCACGCATGCCAGGCGAGCGCACTACCACTTGAGCCACATCTCCAGCCCCAGTGCCCATCCCTTTTTATGTTTTATTTTGAGACAGGGTCTTGCTAAATTCTTGGGGTTGGCCTAAGCTATCGAGGTTGGCTTCAAACTTGTTGCTGGGATTACAGGCGTATGCCACTGTGCCCAGCAAACAGAGTCTTTTTACGATGAAAAATCTTGAGAGATTTAGCAGTGCTTCCCATAGATCAAGTTGGGACCTCTCCATGTAAATGCAGGCACCAATCAGTCAATCCTCTTTTATGATCTTGTCCCACAGTCATGCCAGAAGAGTAAATGGATATGGAGCTGCCCAAGAAGTGATCTGTACTGCCATCTGTCACCAGGGCCTGTCCTGAATCTAGGTCCCTTTTCTAACTGTCTTTGATTACCTTTCAGGAATGATATCTCCACTAAATGCAGTTTTTAGCAAGCAGGCAAACCTAGATGTCTGTCCCCGGCTCTTGCCACCACCATGGAATTTGAAGGGGATAAATCTTTTCCAATTTTGAACTAGTACAGGTTTAGAAATGGGCCTGGGACCTATGCAGGGCCAGTTGGGAAAACCCTCCACACCATGTCCTATGAGGGAGTAAGGTGTTCATCACAGGCATAAATAGGGAGGCCTTGGCCATAGCCTGCAGAGCTGCCCTACTTCCTACTCAATTCGGTGAGCCTGATCTCTGTTTCCTATTGATCTTGTGAAATCCTAATATCTTTCCAATAAATACTTCCTTTCTCCTAAATCAGCCAGACTTCATTTTCTTAAATTATAAGAGATGAATCCCATAATTTGTCACCAATTGCCAGACATTAATATTGCCTATAACTTTTTCATACAACCAATAATGATGCAATAAACACCCTTTTATAGATTTGCACATTTCTGCAAACATTTTTACAGATAGGGACCACCTAGAAAGCATTCTGGGACAAAGGATACAGTATACATTTAAAGTGTTTATAGGTACTGCCACTTCTGCTCTGGCAGCTTCCCAACATAGGGAAGTGCTCATCGCTACACCACCATGAACAGAGATTTTTAAGTATGTATATTTTAGTAAATTAATAGATGGAAATAGCTTTTTCATTTTCTTATGCATTTACGCAGTTGCTTGTAAGATGAAGATCTTTTCAAAGAATTACTAGTGATCTATTTTTAGATGACTTTTTTCTTAGTGATTTCTTCATATACTAAGTATGTAAACCTTGTATTTGCTATTTACTGCAATTATCCTCTTAAGGTTGGTTTAGGTGTCTTGGATTGTACATAACATTTTGATCATTTTTTTCTTTACGATTTCTGGGTTTTCCATCACATTCAAAGAAGTTCTCTGTTCTATAAACAAACATATTTTCATAATTTTTTTTCTTTCTCTTTCTGGTACCAGGGATTGAATGATGGGCACTGACTAAATCCCCAGCTCTTTTTATTTTTTTCTTTTAGAGACATAAACTCGCTAAGTTGCCCTGGCAATTCTGCCTCAGCCTCCTGAGTGGCTAGGATTACAGGTGTGTGCCACYGCACCAACTGAGCTTTTTTAAAATTTATTTTTGATATTTTTTAAATGTAAGTGGACATCTTCATTTTATTTTAGTGTGGTGCTGAGGATCGAACCCAGCACCTCACGGATGCTAGTCAAGTGCTCTACCACTGAGCCACAGCTCCTATTTGTTTGTTCTGATGAGGATTTGAGTCTATGTTTTCTCAGATGGTRCTACAGTTTGAATGTATATGACTCTTGTATATGTTGCAACTTAAAACTCAAGGTGATTAGGGGACTTTGGGAGGTCTATTTTGGATCTTGGACATCCTCCAAAGGTCCATGTGGTAAAGGCCTGGTTCCTAGTGTAGTGATTTTGGGAGGGGGTGGAAGCTTTAAAAGATGGAGCTAGTAGGATATCCCAAAATCACTAAGGCATGCCCTAGAGTGGGCCAGTGGGACCTCAAGGGACATGCCTGCTTAAAAGAGCATATTAAATCTAAAAATGTGTACACCACATGTTATTTTTTCCAATGTAGCAATGGGAAGGGGGGAGGTTAAGGRAGCTCAATCACATTGAACTTTATATGAGAATACAGAGTATGTGCATAAAAGGTAGGGTATGACTGGCTGAGAAGGGTGGCTGGAGTTAGTGAGGTTTCACCAGCAGAAGAGGCTTACCAGCATTGTGTGACCACTGCTGTGTAGGCTAGGTTGGGGACCAACCAGATGTTCACTTTGAACTTTTCTCTTAAGTAGAAACTCGCTAACTCTTTAAGATGTGCTGCCATCTCCTGGCCAACCTTGTGCTGCAGTCAAATCACAAGCAGTTTTAGCAKTGACTCAGCCACATGTTCAATATGATACAGTCACCCCAAACAAACCAAAACAAATACACCCATGGGAGAAGACACACACTATGTGATGACCTTCCATAGGGACTAGACAGTGCTGCTTCAGGTRGAGGCCCACACTGGCACCTGCAGGCACTGCTGAACAAGCAAACCTGAACAGTGGGGTGGGCCTATATGAACTCAAAGTATTCCAAATGCAGAAAAACTGGTACATAGATTATAGCCCCCAATTAGCTCACAGTTAATAAGGAATAACTAGACTCATGTATAAACTCTGAATGCTGCAAGTTCRTGCTGAAAATTGGAGTAAAGGGGGTCACCTCAGAATAGGGTCTGAAAAATACACTGCTAGTAGTAGTAATGCAAAATATTTAGTTACCAAGAGTAATGACCATTACGGAATAAGGCCCCTGCTAGAGGAGTGGCGTGTGGCATCAGTCTCCCCTAAGGCAAAGGGCAAGACTTACGCAGGTAACAGTGGAATGGAATGCATCAGGGAGCATCCTATTCACATGGGTAGTGAAATCAAAGCCAAAGCCAAACAGATGTAAAACTAACATGTTAATATGATCTTTATTATATAGCACATCTGGTATTTGTGCATCCTAATGATTATACAGAATACTCTAAAAAACCAAACCTGACCATTCAAAATTACACTGATGAAGACCTGACCCCTAGTTGCATCTCTTAAAAATACATACATCGTGGTCGTGCTGTAACAGTATTTGGAAAAAGCCAGATAGTATAGGAAAGAAGGGAGTATAGAGACTGACGTTTGTGCCAAAGTAATTTTCTTTTGTTATTGCACTTTTATTCTGCACACTTAGTATATTACACTTTTATTTAACACTGTAATAAACATTAGTTCTTTAAAATAAACAAAAAAACATTGCATGAAGACCATAAGCTGTCCAGGCCAATTTTCTTTATGGACTCTCTGAGCAAGCTGGCCTCCCCATGTCAGATATTCTCAACAGTCTCTGCCATCTCCTCAACTGGACTAGAAATTAACAAAGCAGATGATGTTAACAATAACTATAGTGCTACTTAAAACCTCCAGGGGAATTTTCAAAGCAAGTGCCTCCAGATCACTCCTTTCTTACCCACTTATCACACTAGCTCTAAGCCATCCCACCCCCATCATTAGAATAAACCTCATTTTAAAGAAAAAGTGGGTTATTTAATCCAGCAAACCCAAGAATCAAGATTTGAAAACTTAAAGTAACTCCCCTTTCAGCAATGGACTTTTCCAGTACTCTTCATTCGGCTCTGATACAACCTGAACTTTGGAGGCTTCCTATGAGCCCGACAGAATACCAAGCATGGTGTCTCTCCAAAGCATGGTCAGAGAGTACCTCAGTTTCCCAAAGTGCTACTGTAATCACCACTTCCCTGGGCTTCTCAGTGCTAAATARTAAGCCAAAAAAATAAAGTGTCATTTACTGCAGTTGTCACTCCACAGCCCTGCCATCCTGAGCCACTTCTGTCAGGAAAAAATTTTCCAAACACTCTACCTTTTCTGGTTTTTTTTGTTTGTTTGTTTGTTCGTGCTGGGAACTGAACCCACCGCTAGGTTTATGGTAAGCACATGTTCTACCACTGAGCTATACCCCCAGCCCTCCAACTTTTCTTTGGCAGCCCAAGCAAAGATACAAAACTGCATTTGAGAGTTTACAGGTACTGGTCAAAAGTTCTATCATTCCCCTAGTCCTATCTACCAGTAATGAATCCTTTCCTCCACYGTTTCCTCCAGCTTTAGTGTTAAGTTAGGAGCAGTTGCTGCGAGGCTCTGTCCCCTTAAAGTTGATGGAGTCAAAATTGACTCTCTTTGGTCTGGGAACAATCAGTGCAGTCCCCTTCCTGGAGCAGTAATAGGCGGTTCAAGAACCAGGGATGCCTGTGGACACCTCTTGGAACAGCAGTTCCTAGGCAACCACGTTGCTGCTAGCTCTCTAGGCACAAGGTCAGCCATCCCAGGCCCCAGGTGTCACCGTCATTTCTTGCTCTCCAGGAAACCTTTCGCTCAGCAAAATGAGCAATTTTTCATTAAAAATAGCCAGGTGAACATTTTTGGGCTAAACTGCCCTCATTCAATTCTTTAGAAGGACTGAACACAGTGAGGATAATTCTTCATGCCACTCTTCTTCCTCCCTAAGTCACAATCTCACCTTACCACTTGGGAACACAACTAACTGAAGCTGGGAGGTAAAATCTTCAGCCATACTAAGCCCTGTATCATTTAAGTGCTGCACACTTCTCTGAATGCCTAGTGTCCTCCCAAGTAATATACAATACAGTACATTTCATGGCATACCATCACATTAATAATAATAATGGGTGCCAACGAGCTAAGAATTCAAAATCGGCTAACAAATTTATAAACCAAAAGTAAAATATACACACATCATACACATATATTCCTGCACTCAGCCTGCTGAGTGTTTAAATAACGCCCCCAAATATCCATGTGGACTTTGGCTAGCCTGGGGACTTTCAGGAGTATCTTGCACCATTTCTCAGAATACTTTTTAAAAATTAACTGTAAAACAACTCCTGACTTAGCATTAGTTTCTCCCTTCCTCCCTCCCACTGGGAAAAAAAATGTAGAGAACTTGCTAGAAAACTGGTATCAGAGCAGACTAAGCCACAGGGATAAAATGAAAAGGAACTCGGGTAGGAAAATCTGACCTCCCATGTGTGACTGGAGTATGAGCTAAGACTCTGCAAGAATGTGAGGAATGTAGTCTCCACAATGGAAGTACAGACTTCTGATTACTTGAGGTTTAGAAGACAAAGAYCTGACAASAGGAACTAACTATATAAGACTTCTTTGAAATTTCATACAGTACAGATTATAATGATTTTCACCCATGTAGAGACTACTTGCTTCTCCTTTAACTTGACACCTGGCTTCCTGTAAGTCCCATCATAGTTCCCAGAAGGCAACAAATTCATGCTGAGAATAGTGACTTGAAGTATATAGCTAAACAGGTGTTCAGGTTCTGAGATAAACTGAACATTCTACCAGAACAAGGCCAGAACCAGCAAACCCAAAGACAATGGGTCCCCTTTATCATTTGCAAATAAAAAGGTCTGTAGTATGACATAAGTTTTGAAGGGATGCAGTGCTTAAGGGTTATTGTGCTCAACTGCATCATAACCAGAGTTAAAATCGAGCTTTAATAAAAGTTACATAAAAATGTTTTAGACTCCACTTATACTCCGTAAATATGTAAGGGATGGTCATTCGGTTATAGACAAACCTAGAAAATCCCAGCAGCTAATGTAACATTCATCTTTTTAGTTTTTTTTGAATGTACAGAAYGTCTTTGTTTATTTTTATGTGGTGCTGAGGATGGAACCCAGTGCCCATGCTAGACAAGCGCTCTGCCACTCACTGAGCTACAGCTCCAATCCTACTGGGAACCTGATTCACACACTTTGGAGATGAACACAAAGGGCCAGACCAGAGTTCTTGAGACTGGACAGATGGATGGAGGCTATTCACCTCCACAATTTCTTCATCTACTTGTATTTCTAAATCTAATGGAACAGTTTGTTGGTAGAAGGCTTGAAGTCAAGACCTGAGATGCACCAGTGTCAAGTTGTTCCCCTTTCCTCTGACTGGAGTTGTCCATCTCTGTCTCTATGTGTACTTCATAAGAACACCACCAAAGACCACTCAGAAGGGAGCAGAGCTTCCAGCCACCAACACACTGAGCTACCACAGAGCTATTCTTCTCTTTCATCTGGTTCCTTTTTTCTTCTAACAGATCATATCTAAAATAAGGTAAAGAAAGGACAGAAGAAACCTTGGCCTTTTAACCACTGGTCAAGCTTTAAAAATATTAGTGTGTTAGATTCAACCCCCCAAAGAGTTTCTGATTAAAGTTTTGAAAATAAGCTGGTATGCACATTTCAAACAGGCTGTATGCAGGCCGTGGCCTCCCCTCGTTGCCCCTCTCAGGTCTTACCCACAGCCTCACTTTAAGTCAGTTCTGTTCACTGAATCCTAAGTACCATGTAATCTGGAGCTTTCCCACCTTAAGATCAAAAGAAGGGAGAGGCATGGGAGGAAGACCCAAGGGTAGAAGAACAGATTCTGTTCTGGAGTTAGCAGTAACTCAAAATCCAATAGCTTATGTATATACAGACATATGCACACTTTTTTCTTTTCTTTCTTTTTTGGTCTCTTAGTATTGTAATAGTGAAACCTCCCAGGAATCAGGGATGTGTAGCCCTATACATGTAAACACACTGGCACTGTGAGGAAAATATAGGTTTGTTTCTAGCTCCCTTACTGGGGTTTCTGACCATTACAACCTGAAATTCCTGGTTACAGATAGCAGGATCCAGGTATCCACAAGTTTTGTCATGTGTCCCTATGTTAACACAATCTTGACCTAAACTGAAATTTTCTAAGTGGTCCTTACCATTGGGTAGAATCAAACTATTCCTAGCTAGTGCTGAAATCATGAAAATAATACATTTTCAGTACTATTGCCACTGCAGTGTCCCACTTATTGTCTTCGAAACATAATACAGTGAATAGACAATGGTAACAATTGCCTCCTTTAGTTCTGAGGCCAGAACATTACATTCCTCAGCTTTTATACATCTTAGACAATCTTTTTTGACAAAGGGATAGGATGGGGCATCCATGACCCGCCCAGAATGCTCAGTCATCCAACTCTCCACTGTCCAGGAGCCACCTCTGCCTAGGAAGGCCTTAAGTTGACCAGCAAGCACCAGTCTCTCAGGAGCTCCCTATAATGAAAAAAAAAAGTCAAATTCTCCCCATGCCCAAAAGGTGAGGGGGGGAAAAAAGAAACAAAGAATGGAGGAGAAAGGTCTTTGCTTTCAAGTAGAGTCATCAAGTCCTCTGTTCAGCCGCTCAGAATTTGACTTGCACAGTCGATCCATGATGCCCCGGAGCATGGGCTGGACAATGCCCAAAAGAGGCCTTTTAGAGGGGTCACCATCCCAACAGGCTTCCATCAACTGCCAGCACTCCTCATCAAACACAGGGAGACGTTCTGGGCGGGCCCCTAGAGAAAGGAGCAAGGAAATCAGAGAGTCAGTGAGAGGGAGCCCAACCCAACCAGCTGGCCAGGCCAGCTGGGCCTCAGGGAACTAAAGAGTAAAAGGAGCTTTGGTTTCCACTGCAGACATCTAGGTTAGAATCTAATAGGAACAGTGAAGAAAGTCTGGAACCCACTCGACATAGGAAATTGAAGAGGAAATTTTAAAGAAAAAAAGCATTTTGAGATAGTTCAACACAATGCTTCATGGAAGCAAAGGTTTGACTTATGTCTTCTCTGGATTCCAGGATGATCTAAATATGCATGTGTTGCTGTGGAAGAGACAGGGCCCTGCTGCAATGCCAGACTCTGCTCTCACTAAAGGAGTGGAGGCAGAGCAGTGCCTTGGCTCTTACCTTTCCGCACATTGTTCCAGAGATGGTCTTTGCTAGCACACCTCTCAAATGCCTCAGGGAGCTTGACGGAGCCTGAGCAGATATACCAGAAGAGAATCCCAAAAGCGTACACATCCACGGAATTATCATACTTTCCTACAGCAAGAAGGGATGAACACTAGTGAACCAGAGAGGGAAGACGGCACATGGCCATCCACGTGCATTAGCAGGTCTTTTTATGTTGTTTTTTTGTTGTTGTTGTTTTCTGGAGCTGTTAACATCCATAGTCTTTCAAAACAGCCCTGCCAGGTAGTCAGGGCATGTTTACAATATGAACACGAAGGCAYGGGGAGGCCAAAGCTAGGCACTGACAGCATACTAAAACTTGAACTGGATGAAGGAAAAGGGAGGAAGGCCTTTCATTTTCATGGGGTAACTACAAAATCAATCCTAATAGGTCACATCAGGGAAATACAGGTGGGTGAGTACACTGAAACTAGRACATAATAGATTCTTTTAAGTCAGGGAGGAGTCTGGAGCCAGTGGGCAGCAGATCATTTACACCTTAAGGCAGGAGGTGATGTGAAAAATATTTTAGAAAGATTACTCTGACAGAAATAGGGTAGACTATAATAGAAATAAAGGACTTTAAATATGAAGCAGTCAAAGTAGAATAATAGTGTCAGGAATAGAAATATTTTTTAAAAGTCAGTTTAGGGAAAGAAAAATGGTGACTACTTGGTTCAGATGTGGGTAGGACTAGAGCTGTCTACCTAACTTCTAATCCTCAGAGCACTACTTGATGAAGAGTTGAGAGAAGACTTGTGAACAAAATAAAAGAAAACCAAATACACTGCTAATTTCAGCTATTATCAATTCTAATGACTGACCTATAATTACCTTTCCATCTTCCTGATATAGTACAACCCTTCTCTACTCACTCCCATTCAAAAATTCAGAGTCGGGCTGGGTTGTGGCTCAGTGGCAGAGTGCTCGCCTAGCATGTACAAGGCACTGGGTTGTATCCTTTCAGCACCACATAAAAATAAATAAAGGTACTGTGTCCAATTACATCTAAAAATATATATTTAAAAAAATTCAGTCATTTTTCAGTCATTCTTCCCTGTTCATCACTTATATCAAATAACAAAAAATCTTGTCTATTCCATCCTCTGAATTGATTTCAAATCTATCTCTTTTTGCTTCAGCATTAACACCAACCTAATCCTGGAGATAACCACCACGGAACCCTCTCATTGTTTTTGGTTCTTCTCACTCAAATCCCCTCTACCAACTCCTGCTAAGCTAATCTTTCATAAGCATCTTCTTTGTATTCTCCCCTCAGGAGCTCAGCAGCTGCCCACTCCTGCACAGCAGGCCTACCTCCTCCGCCAGAATTTCAAGCTCAGTGTATTCACTTCCAACCTTGCTTGTCACTGTTTCTATCTTGTCATACTTATTTCTATTATTATTTCTATTCTACAATATTCCTTAATATTTCCCCTTCTCCAGCCTCTGGAAGTTTCTCTCCTTCATGATCCATRGTTGGACTCTAGAGTCAGAAAAGACCTAGATTCAAATCCCAWATCTATTATTTTCTAGCTAAATATTTTTTGGGTGAGTTAATTCATCAATCTGGATTCAACTTTGTCCAGGAAATGAACAAAAAAATACACCAAATTATCACATAATTATGAAGATTAAAGGAACAAAATGTATAAATGCCCACACTGCTTACCTCAAAGTATATACTCAAATAAATGAGTTCCCTTTCCACATACCAACATTCCAGATCTGACTTGAGTTATACCTAAAATTTCACCTCTAACACAAACCGTCAAACATTTCAACCTTCCTCTTTCCCATCGTGGAACACCAACGGTACATCATATAGCCCTTCACTTAGTATTAAATTATATGCTGCTGGATAATGGTTACAAATTACTTTACCTCTCTTAATATTCCTCTTTGTCAATTGCAAGTTCTTTATTGATAGAAGACAACTGCTATTATATAAGAGTTATTTGATTTAGAATTTATGATCAAATAATTAAATGATTATAGCAATGATGGCATAATAACCCAGAGAGAGAGAAATCCAAAAGAATGCACTGWGACTCCCCATTTGCACTTCCCTTCCTACTTCTATACCTCTTCACTTTTCCCCTACCTGCCTTAGGTTTGCCCTCCTCTGGTTTCTCCCCTGTCAGCCAGACCTGCCAGCAGTACTTGTACATACTGCTTAGTCTGATGAGTAGCTCTCAGGATTGTAGTTCTGACCCTGCCCAAATCCACTCCCTGCCCTCCAGACCTTACCTGTGAAAAGTTCTGGGGCCATATGGATGGGTGTCCCCACAATGCTGCCTGACATCATGGCCTCTGGCTTGCAGAATCCTAAATCAGTGATCTTGGCACGATTCTGCTTGTCCAGCTGCCAAGAAAGMAGGGGAAGAATTCACCTTGTCTCTGAGCTTGCAGGTAGTATTCAATTGTATATTCAAGTTCAAAATATGCACTTCAAAGTAGTCTTAACAAAATCTGCCTCCACCTAGCCCATCTTCACACTCTCCTCCTCAGAGACTGTGAGCAACCTGATGGCAGGAACTGTTTCTTTCATGTTTGTATCCCTGGCACTTAGCATGGAGCCTGGCACCTATGAGAATCTTCATAAATCTTGAAAGAATGAATAAGTGAGGATCTATGGAAGAACAATGAGGAAAACATTTCAACTCCGGATTCTTCACCTGACCCCAGGACAGAAAGGTGAAGTCCTCTAGTCAGCCTAGAAGCTTCCTGACATTCCTGTATTTCCTTTCCTAAAGATCCAAGAGAGAAATCCAACAGAATGCACTGTGACTCCCGTTTGGGGTGTAGCTCAGTGGCAATGCACTTGCCTAGCACACTCAAAGCCCTGRGCAGATTCCCCAGCAACAAAACGTTTGGGAGAGGTGGGGCAGCATGGCAGGGGGACACTTTGGCTAATGATCAGCCTTCCTCTTAGATTTCACTTYTACTTTTAGTAAGATTGTTCCCTTCTCTCAAACAGCTGTCATCTTTGTACATCATTGAAGTGCTACCAGAAATACCTTAATGATACTCTAAGATATTTACAAGAGGTCTATGTTGAAAGATTTTTGGAGGGCTAGGTGTGTGTATGGCTCAGTGGCAGAGCACTTGCTAATGTGCATGAGGGCCTGGGTTTAATCCAAAGCACCACAAAACAAGATTCTTTTTCAAGAGGAGTATGTCTAAATTAAAAGAAAAAAAAAAGTGGAATATGTCAAAAGTTCCTCTTACTTTCTTGCAGTCCTGGGGATTGAATCCAGGACCTTGGAACATGCTAGGCAAGCACTCTACTACTGAGTTACAYCCCAAATCTCTAGCCCAAATTATTCTTCATAATTTAGATAACAGGACCAGTGAGTTCATGACTCTCTTACCTTTTAAGCTTTATTAATTTATCTCTGCTCTCATCCAATATCACCATAAGCAATAACAAAGGCCTATGCTCCTCAAAAATGTAAATGTCATAAAAAGCAAAAAAAAAAAAAGGTAGACTGTTCTAGATTAAAGAAAACTAAATAAGCATGGCAACAAAATGTACTACATGATACTTGGACTGGATACTGGATCAAATAAACAAACAGACCATATTTGGAGCAATTGGATATATTAGGGGAAACTTTAACACTGTTAATACAGACCGCATGTTAAGTAACAACATTATATTGATGGTAAATTTCTTGGGTGTGATGACATTTTAATTTTGTCTAAGACTGCCTTTTTATTGGGAGATACATGCTTCAGTATTTAGAAATGAAGTATTATCTGCAACTTACTTTCACAAAATTCTGAGAAAAAGTATGCCTATTTGTGCACGTAAGTGTATACATATAAACAGTGAGAATGTGAGTGAGTGAGGAGAAATAGAGAAGAGGAATCTGGATAAAGGATATCTAGGTCTTCACTGTACCACTCTTTTAACTTTTTCTATAAGGTTAAAAATTTTTCAACAGTGTACAGGGGGAAAAACTCTATACTACTATAAGGTAGGTCTGTACTGAAACTCCTGCCTAACCTTAAATTCCAAGAAAACCATCCATCCACTATACTGTTAACTCTACTTCTTTCCATCTGGATTTTTCTTAGGATCAAACTTACATTTTGTGCATCCTCCACCCACAGAAGCAGGGTGTCTTCTTGGGGACACAGCTCTACTTACCAGTACATTTTTCAGTTTGATATCACGATGGACGAGTCCCTGGCCATGCAGGAAGCGGATTCCCTCCACCACATCTARTGCTATCTGCAAACGTGTCTCCAGGGCCAGTCCAGCCTTGGAGAAACAAAAGAACTTACTGTCACAAACAGAGAAACTCCTCAATCCAACTTGCTTGAACCAACTGAGACTTCATTCTTTGAGGAACTAAAAGACTGACCACATCRGGACACACAAAGACAGAAAAACGAATAGAAACAAAAGGGGAAGAGGAAAGCAGTTAGGAGAGGGAAGTGGAGGAAAAGCAAGGAAGTGCAAGTTGAAAAGAACACAAAGCCAGATAAAATCCCTTGGGGGCTGCAGTTGGGCCAGCTGAATGATGCCCAGAGGTGACAAGGAGAGGTGCAACCAAATAACTAAATCCATGAACCCTGATTTTTGTTTTTGTTTGTTTGTTTTTGATACCAGGAATTGAACCAAGGGGCACTTAACCACTGGCCACATCCCTAACCCTTTTTTATATTATATTTAGAGACAATGTGTCACTGAGTTGCTTAAGGCCTCTCTAAGTTGCTGAGGCTGGCTTTGAACTTGTGATCCTCCTGTCTCAGTCTCCCAAGCCTCTGGGATTCCAGGCACGAGCCACCATGCCTGGCCCATGAGCCCACTTTTTTAAAGTTTTTATTTGTTCTTTTTGGTTAYACATGACAGTAGAATGTAATTTGACATATCATACATACATGGAGTGTAACTTCCCATGAACATATTTTGAACATTTGAACACCTCAACTGCAGAGGTGGATTTACTTCTGCTGTTTTACAGGCCTAGTCACTGCAGATTTTGTTTAATGACTTCAAATACCACTCATATTACTTTAGTTTAGGAGCTCTTGGGTTCTGGAAAATACTGTGTTATTCAGTATTTTCCAAAAGATCAAGTGGGGCTGCTAGTCCATAGGTACAAAAGCATCAGACGTTCTGAGCTTAACTCGTCTGTAATAGAGAGGATCATTTGAAGAGTCATTTTCTTCATCCAATCAATTCGTCATGACTCCTGGGAGCATTTAAGTTGTTCTCTGCCCTAGTTCTGGAAGATTCTGTGTAAACTTGTAGAAAAGGAATCTGTAAGAAGGGACTACCTAGATATTCTGATATCTGTTTTTCTCTCCTCAGCTCGAATGTAGGGAACAAACAAAAGAAACCACTTTTTTTTTTTTTTTTTTTCCTTCAGCCCAGGGGCTTGAACCCAGGGCCTTGTGCATGCCAGGCAAGCAATTCACCACTAAGCTACATTCCCAGCTCCAAGAAACCTCCCTTTTGGTGGTGGTTTTAGATGAGGGAAACTCATCTAAATTGCAATATCCAACTGAAAGTTTCATCTTCACTCAAATAAAATTCTTCAGTGTGGCATATCTCAATTCATAAAAAGATCATATGATTAAAAACAATTTTTTTTTGTAGTTGTAAACGGACAGACTGCTTTTATTTGTTTATTTTTATGTGGTACTAAGGATCAAACCCAGTGCCTCACACATGTTAAGCAAGAGCTCTGCCGCTGAGCTACAGCCCCAGCCCATGATTTCTGTTTTAAACCTTATTGGGACTTGTGTTAGAATGTGTAATCTGGAGTTTTCATTGTCTAAAACAAACTTGAATTCTACAGCAATTCTTTCTTTCCAACTGCCAAAATTTTACCCATTTTGATACGCGTGTCAAACTCAAACTCCACATCCTCACGAAATATTGACTGTGATTCCTTTGAAAGCTCCTGGAAGTTATATTTTTTGATATTCCCTAATGGTTCTTAATACACTGCGTTATGCATAAATATTTATTGACTAAATAAAACTGGCTTTATCCACCAAGAACAAAAAAAGAGAGAAAGGGGAACAGAGTTCCAGGAAGTTTTTMTGCTTTTCTAATTTTAATCACTACTTAAATGACAGTAAATGACAGTATTCTGGAYATAAATAYTGGGACCAAAAAAAAAAAAAAGACTTTTTTACGTCTGAGACATTTTTAAGGATTTTGGRTATAAGTGCAATAAAATCTGATAATTCCAACAATATCTTATGAAAATAGGAGGCTCTGAATAAACAAGAATAGATGAAAGGCCAATAGGGAAGTAGAAGTTCTAGTCCTCAGCTGGATAGAGATCTCTCCCTGCTCTGCCTCACCTTCAGCCCTGTGTAGAGGTCCCGGTGTAGTCGCTCCATAATGAGCAGCACAGCAATGCTGGAGCCACCTCCATAGTTGTAGTCGATGACTGAACCATGGAGATCCACCAATCGCTCATGCTTCGGCAGAGATCTGTGGGAAGAAGAGAGGTCTGGGCTACAATACTTGGGTTCTAATCTCGCATAACATGTCAAAATGTAGGAAGGAACAGCTTTAAGACCATGCTTGGTTTAGGTCCATAGGGAATGGCTCTCAGTATASACAGAGTGCTAACAGAATAACCTTTCCACCAAGGAAAAAGAATCATGGAATCTAAAAATCAACAAGCCTTGATGACTAAGGAAGAAAGTTAAATAAACAGCTGGGCACAGTGGCTCATGCCTGTAATCTCAGCAACTTGGGAAGCTGAGGCAGGAGGATTCCATATTCAAAGACAGTCTTAGCAACTCAGTGAGACTCTATCTCAAAAAAATTAAAAAATAAAAAGGCTGGGGATGTTAGTTCAGTGGCTAAGTGCCCCTGAGTTCAATCCCCAGTACCAAAAAAAAAAAAAAAAAAGAAAGAAGGTTAAATGGAATGAGAAATCTAAGAATTTAAACTGGCTAGAAAAGACCAAACCAAGATAGTAAAGTCCTTAAAGAGTACCTATGGCTAGGCTAGACCCACAAACATTTTGAAACCTAGGTATGGAGAAACAGGGAGCTGGAGCTTTTGGTACAACACTTATTCCCRGTTTCTGGCCTCTTCTAGGGATCTTTCCCAGAGAGATGGATGAGACTAGGACCCACCTCATGTAGTGAAACTCCAAAGCCAGATCATTCCAGTGCTTCTCATCTGGAGGGACGACCGATTTAAGGGCACAAGGGAAGTGTCCTCCCCAGTTGTCACAAAGGTATACCACACCATACTGGCCCCGGCCCAGTTCCTGTCCCAGTTTAGGTTTACCTACATGGGACAGAGACAGAGAAAAGGAAGGAGGGAAYTTACTGGGAAACCTCTGTAAGATTCTTAGATGTAGGTCTGCCTAGAGACCAGAAGTCATAATCATGCCAGGGGAAGAAATTCTAGTGTCATTCTAAAACAGTGGAAAGTAACTAAATAAACTTTGGTAATGTTATTTAAGCTATATAAATAGCAGGACCTGGGCTGGGGTTGTGACTCAGTGGTAGAGCACTTGCCTAGCACCTGTGAAGCACTGGGTTCAATCCTCAGCACCACATAAAAATAAATAATAAACAAAACAAAAATAAATAGCAGGACCAAACAGACTTCAAGAATTCAAAGTTGGGCTGGGCTTGTGGCTCAGTAGTAGAGTGTTCATCTAGCATATGTGCAGCACTGGGTTCAATCCTCAGCACCACATAAAAAAGTAAATAAGTTACAAAAAAAWTTTTTTAAAAGAGTGGAAATTAAGAGTGAAAAAAAATTCAAAGTCACATCAATAAGTGCTTAAGCAACTCCACAAGGAAGTAGCTTGAGATATTAGGATTCTCAGAAGCCAGAAAAATAAAACAAAACAAAAAACAAGGACTAACGATGCAGTAAGACGTCCTGTAAAGAACGGCTCTCCAGAGAAAGGCGGGCCAGGCGTGGGGCATGGTCTTTCCGAACCTTCAGCCACAGATCTTCAGTTTTCTCCAGCCGGCCTGAGTGGCCAGCTTCCAGCTAGGAGGGAAACAGAGAAAAGACACATAATAAAAGACACATTAAGCCCTTAGCCTCAGCTTCCTCACATGTTATACAGGAATAATAATATCTACCTCAATGGGAAACTGTGAGAATTAAAAAGCACGTTTAGCGCAGTGACTGTTACAATCAGAACTTTCAATAAACAGTAATTTTTTTCTGTCACATCTATCCACTCTCTCCACACACACATACACACATGCACACACACAAGTTATGTCACGAAACTGAATTAGAATGGAAATTGGAAAGTCATCTCTGTCATTCATTCCTAAAAACACTATATAAACTTACAAAAAAGTTCCTATACCTCTATTTTCTTTTTTTCCTCAGTACTAGGGATTGAATCCTTGGGTGTTCTACAAATGAGCTACATCCCCAGCCCTTTATAATTTTTATTTTGAGAAAGAGTCTTGCTAACTTTCCCAGGCTGGCCTCAAATTTGCGATCCTCCTGTCTTAGCCAGAGAAGCTGGGATTACAAGTGTGTGCCATGGAACCGAGCCTGTATCTTTTTTTTCCTCATTCAGTGAAATTGAGAGAAATTAACTGAGCTCCCTCCATTCTCCCTAGAGTTAGAAAAATATCCACATTAAAATTTTATTGGTGAAACTTCCTATAATATAGAATTATCTTTAACAAAATAGAAAAATACAATGGTGATTTTTTTTTTCAAAATAATATGGACACAGCAAAGAGCAAAATATTTGGGGCTGGGGTTGTGGTTCAGTGGTAGAGTGCTTGTCTAKCATGCTTGGGGCTCTGGGTCAATCCTCAGCACCACATAAAGGTAAAATAGATATTGTGTCCACTTAAAACTAAAAAATAAATATTAAAAAAAGAGCAAAATATTCTTCTTTTGATGAAGCTCTCCTTTGCTTATTTTAGCTGTATCTCCTTTCCTACATACCAACCTGCCGTAAGGAGGCTGCAAAAGCCTCATGAGAACTATTGAGCCGAGTCCGGAATTGGCTGCAAATGCTCTTGGCCAACTTGGAGGCACTGAGGCTCTCAATGGCTTCCTGGGCCACCTTCCTCTTCCATTCTAGAGTGATGGCAGGTGGGCTCACCCAGGTGATACGCTGGATGATCTGCCAAGATAAGGACAGTGAGATCACTGAGGGATGGAGAAAGGAATTACTAGAAGGTCCCAATGATGCCCTTCCTTTTCTGGATTACCCACCCATTAGCAGAAGGTTCTTAAGAATAAGAGCCTCATGAAGTTCAAGGTTCCTCTCTAATTCCATCTAGCCCTATCTACCCCACAATCAGGGTTCAGCCCAGAGGAAGGTATCAAAGAACACTAAGCCAAAAAAAACAAAACAGTAGGCTGAGTCTATGAGTCTACATGCTCACAAACCCTCAATACATTATATGCAGTCTTGGGGAGTGTCCGAATCTGAAGCAGTAAATAACTACTTCATAACATAACATAACAGCACAAGAGCCAGAGTCAATTCCAGAAYAGGAACTGCATTCCTTGGCCTGTGGCAACACCACCACTAATTCTGAGAAAACATTCAGTCTGTTTAAGAAAAATATGAAAAAACTAGTGATGGAGAGGCTTATGGCTCCATGAAATATCATTTAAACCTACCACTTTTAAGAATGAAAGGGATCACAGTTAATAATTATTTAATAGGCACAAAGTAGAATTCTCTCAGGCAGACCAATCAGAACACAAGGCCAATCTATCTTAAGAGGAGATCCTAGCCATGTGCTCCCTCCTAGAGTGATTAGGATCCCTGTAAGTCAATAAGGAACTGAAAACTGTCCCTCAAAGCAAYGCCTACCTGCTTGATTTGCTCCCACAGCATCCTTGTAACCGAGGACCCTGAGTGAAACGTGACTTCAACATGATAGGCAGCATTTAAGATCTAAAAGAGTATACACAAAGAAAATTCAATACAGGATATTTACTTCAAGAACACAGTCCAGTCTCAAGGTTTCCAAATTTATCTATCTATCTATCTATATATATATATATATATATATATACACACACACACACAGAATTAACTCAATTGATTGCATACTCTGTGACTAGTTAGGCCTTTTTACTTCCTCTTCATGTTTACTGACTATAATTTACAGCTCACCAGCACCTCCCATAGGCAGTGGTCACTGGTAGGAAAACAATAAAATTCAAACAATAGGTAAAAATTTGAGAGGGAAAATCCTGGCTAATTTGAAGTTGGACTAGTGTGTGAATTATTCCAGGTTTTCTATTTGAACCATTTTCTTTGCATACCTGTTTGAGATAATTACTGGTGATATGAATGGAAACATCCTGTGACTTCTCCAGGCTCTGCAGACACCGTTCCAGAGTTCCAACAAAGCTCTCACGTAGGTAATCTACGGAGCTGATTAGCTTGTTAGCCACTGCCTGATTAAGCCGGGAGATGATGAGTTCCTGGATTTGTCGAATGCAGCATTTGATCTCTCTGGTGCCCACTGGTTCTCCATTCTCTGGGACGATAACATCTATGGAGGCAGAGAAATAAGCTACTTAGCTGTGAGGGAAAGGGGCAGACCTACTACATAAAGGCCTCTCCCAAATCAGAGCCAATGAATCACAGGACAATGGCTATAAAAAGACACAACTGGTTGATAAACACTGACCCTCAGCATGATCAGGGCCACATAATGCTCAACTAYTTAAGGCTACCAAGATCCTGAGAAGCAGCAATTATGTTTAAAAACAAGTCTGTTGATTTTGTTAACTTTTACGTCAAATTTATAGGAGGGGATAAACACCATTTATTGCATGCAAACTATYTGAAAGACATAATAATAAGTATTTTAACATATGCAATCTAATTTCATCTTCACAATAACTTTGACAGGTGGGTATTATTAGTTTTATTTTTTAGATCAGGAAACAGCCTCAGAGAGAGGACAAAGTGGGCACTGGAAAGGGGAAGGTACAGTTAGGAAGTAATTCAGCTAGCATTTGAACCCCAAGCTTATTGATTCCAAAGCCTCATGTCTTTGTAATATTTCTCACTGGTCAATATATTAATGAGAAGAATCCAAGAGAAGGAATTCTAGTCTAATCAATTACTAAATAAACAGTGAAACTCAACTATTGTCCCTATCATGCCACTACCTCTCAGAATTTAAAAATCTATTTTATAGGCCAGTGGACAGAAAAAAAAGAAGTCAAAAAAGATCTACTCTTGGAAAGGAACTCTCAAATCTATTGGTGGAAACTTAAATTGGTACCACCTCTTCAGAAGAAATCTGGCCATATCTATCAAAATTTTAAACCAACCATGCCAAATATGGGTGGCACATGCCTTGTAATCAACCTGGGAAGGTAAGGCAAGAGGATCTCAAGTTCGAGGCCAGCCTGGGCAACTTAGTGAAATCCCATCTCAAAACAGAAAAAACAAAAACAAAAATAAAAATAATGCCTGGGTAGCTCAGTGGTGGAGCATTTCCCTGGATTCAATCCCTAGTACTGGGGGGTGAAAATTACACAAACAATAAAAAACCCACATACTCTTTACTTAACTATTCTGCTTGTAGGAATTCTTTTTCCAGAAATGTATCCTTACAGATATGAAATACATTTATGGACAATGATGATTAATACAATAAAGTTTGTAACAGCAAAAAGGAAAAAAAGGAAATAGTTTAAATATCCATCAATAAGAGAATAGTTAAATAAATTAAGATATGTCCATTAGAAGAAGACATTTATGGGAGAAGCCCTCTAAGATATACATTGAAAAGGTGAAATGGCAAGATACAAAAGAATATACTGAGGGGAACAGAATGGCTGGGGACAGTGCCTCTGTGTGTTTGAATTAAGTAGTATATATGTATGTTTTATCCTTTAAAATATAAACAGTCTATAAAGTAGGTATATTATATTATCCAGAGTACATGGGTTACCTTATATATTTATTTATTTTTATTTTTTGTTTATTTGTGTTGCTAGGAATCAAACCCATGGCCTGCAAATGCCAGGCAAGCATTCTACCAGTGAATTATACCCTAACCCTCATTACATTTATTTAAAGAAAAATACCAGTAAAAGAAATCTGCCTCCACAAGATATGTGGTTGCTTTCTTTAAACCTTTTTATCATTGCTTAAAGAGTACTCAGAATAGTCTTAGAAAAAAGTAAGAACTGAACATACAAGTTGTGTCTAATAAAACTAGGTGCAGTGGCACACGCCTGTAATCTCAATGACTTGGGAAGCTGATGCAGGAAAATTGCAAGTTTAAGGCCAGCCTCATCTATTTAGTGAGCCTCTGTCTCAAAATCAAATAAAAAGGGTTTGGGGTGTGGCTCAGTGGTAGAGAGTCTCTGGGCTCAATCCCTAGTACCCCCTCACACACACACACAAAGTGCATCTAATGTATCTCCATCTAGGTAAGTAGATCCACAAATCCACAAGGAAGTTAACAGAGTCAGACACTTGATCTACTTGTTCCCAATCACCCCATGTGTGTTTAGCTAATCACTATATCCTAGGCACTATATATGGCATGCCTGGCACAGTACAATGAAATATTTCACTGTCTGCTCAACCTAGCTGCCCTAACCTTCCTTCATCATGCACACTATGATATTAGCATTGATGCTCCAATGTCCTTAATTAAATATTGAGAGGACTTTCTAGTATTTCTACTGCAAGTGAGCATTTCTCAGCCATTCCTTCCTGCAGTGGGAATTCACCAAAGATGTACCTTTGTTGATCTTTAGAAAGACTTATAAAAAATCAGACATCCTATCCTTGCTAAAATCAACTGTATTTCCTTTGTAAAAAGTGTGACATAGAGACCGTTATTTATAAACCCTTTCATTCTTCAAAGACCTGCTACATTCAAGGGCTGGGGATGTGGCTCAGTGGTAGAGTACTTGCCTACACTGGCAAGCCCCTGTGCTCCATCCCCAGATTCACACACACACACACACACACACACACACACACACACAAATGTGTGTTATTTGCTACAAGGGATATGATGATGTAAGACCCAGATCTATTCTCTTGAACTCCAGGATTTTAAAAAAATAGTCAAAAGAAAATAAATAACTATATTAAAACATAGAAAGTGAAGCCCCAGTGGTGGTGCACATCTATAATCCTAGCTACTTTCGAGGCTAGGGCTAAGGCAGAAGATGGCAAGTTCAAGGCCAGCCTTGGCAACTTAGCAAGACCTATCTCAAAATAAAAAGAAAAAAAAGGAAATAGCTTAAATATCCATCAATAAGAGTTTAAGTCCAGCCTCATACATTTAGTGAGCCTCTGTCTCAAAATCAAATAAAAAGGGTTGGGGTTGTGGCTCAGTGGTAGAGAGTCTCTGGGCTCAATCCCTAGTACCCCCACCCCCCGCAGCCACACAAACTTAGCTTAAATATCCATCAATAAGAGAATACTCTCAGCAGTAGAGCACCCCTGGGTTCAATTCTCAGGACTTCCCCCTCCCCCAAATAGTCAAATACACCAAAAATAAGTTACAGATGAAATGCTGTGGGAATTTCAGATGACTGCAATTGTTAGTAGGTATTTGAAAAAATTCAAGAAGATTTCATAAAAATATGGCATCTCTGTAAGACCTTAAAGAAAAATAGGTAGGATTTGTGCTTGCCTAGCATGCCCTGGGTTCAACGTCCAGCATCACCACATAACCAAAAAATTAAAAAATAGGTACAATTTGGAAATTCACAGAAAATAAATGACATTTCAGGTTTAAGGTTAGGCACAAGCAAAGAAAAAGTGAAGAGAGTGTTCAGAGGACAGCAAGCAGTTAAGATCAATCCAAATAAAAACAAGAGGCAGATGCAGAGTAGGAAACAAGACTAGCAAAGTTGGTAAGGGCTCAGCTTTGGAGAATCTGTGACACTAGGCTGAGGAGTTTAAACCGTCTATAGGAACAGAGATCCAATAAAGATGAAGTGGAGAAAGGAGAGAAAGAAGTCAGGTAATGATAGTTCAGTTAGACTAAGGAAAATGAAATAGAAAAGATATAGAAGAATAGGTAGGATTTGTGCTTAGTTCAAGGCCAGCCTTGGCAACTTAGCAAGACCTATCTCAAAAATAAATTGATGAACTCAATTTCCAGCTAGAAAAGGGAAGAAGACTCATCAATACCTGGCAACTGATAGACAAGGGAACAAGGGGAAGATGACAGTTAATAGATCTGCTGAGGTGTGGATGCTGGCTATCAAGAAGAGGGTGGTGAAAGAAAGAAATTAAGAATAGGTAAAGCATGGAAATTAAGAGTATGGGCTGAGGAATCAGGCAGTCTGGCTTCAAAGCCTACCTCTGTGACTCACTAGTTGTGAGACCTTGGGCAYAGTACTTAATCATTTTAAGTCTTGTTCCCTCATCTAAAAAATGGAAACAAGTGGAATCCTCCTAGGGAGGACTCTCGGAAAAACACTGACACTMGGTGCTATGTCAGAAGTCCTGACTAAGTCTGGAGTGGTCTTTAGCAGTCTTGAGCACCAGTGTTTTCAGAAAGCCTCTCAGGGGATTTGGATTTCTTCTTATGATTGAGAATCTAAACAGCACCTTGCAAACTGAGTCATTTCAATTAAAGGTAGCAGAGTTAATGTTCACACATGGRGGTTCACACAGTAGTCAATATACAAAGTCAGCGCATTTAAACCTCAGACACCGAAAGACCTGACCAATTGCTTTCACCCAATTTTGTTAATAGCCATTTGTGAAAAATGGGACTGCCAGAAAAGCTAAAAAACATTACTTTGAGAAATCCTCCTGTGTTGACTTTCAGGAGCAGCTGAAAAAAGAAAAATGAGACCATGAGATAAAAAGAAGAACCACGAAGAAGCGTGGGCCACACTGATAGAGCAAAGCACAACCTAGTAAACTTCTCCAARCAGCTCTTCTCCAGCTCCTTTATGGCCCAGGGACAGATGCAAAGTGGAGGGTGGAGAGCTATTAGGATGGTTTTACCAAAACTCAGCCTAATGGCCCTGGAAGGAATGACATGGAATCTTCCAAGAAGGTCCCTGAGAACAACAGAGGCCACCAAGGCTTCATGATTTAAGAGAGGTTTCTGCTGRAACCTTAAGAATTGATGAACTCAATTTCCAGCTAGAAAAGGGAAGCTCCTAACATTCTGCACCCCACATAGCTGCAGGGACCTACCTTTAAACTCCATGTTGGCAGCATCATCCAGAAGCTCCTCCTTCATGGAGTTCAGTGTCTCGACAATCATGTCCTTCATTTCCTCCTGCTTTCGGTTGGCAATATTCATCAATGATTCATACAACTCATTTTCCTTCTTTCGAGTATATTCCAGACGTTTGGGAGTAATTTGCAGGTCCCGCTGCATGTCAAAGGCCTGGTTGATGAAGATGTCCAGGCAGTGGCAGTGCACGGAGTTCAAGGCCTTGGCCGCTTCCACCAGGCGGGTCTGTAGCAGCTGGTGAGAAAACGTGCTCAGGTGTCTCAGCTTCTCACTGTGCTCYACCAACATGCTCTGAGGTTTAGTGTCCTGGCTGGGGGCCCCACAGTTCCAGTGACTGCTGCTTAGATAGCCCAGGTCAATTAGTTGGCGATATAGCGGTGATCTTTCACTCTCCATTCTCCTGATGGAGGAGTCTATTATCTCCAGCTTTGGCACTTTGAAAAAGAATACGGGAAAGGAGAAATACTTTCGGATTTCCTGAAGCTGCTGCTCCTCCCTCTCAGAGAGCTCATCTTTGTGGAGTGCATACATTATCACAGGTAAAAAATCATTCACCAAGTCACCCAGAACATCCACTGTGGGCCGGAGGCCTTGGCATGGTGCCACCACAATGTCCACCTCCTGGAAGGGGAAGGGGGTTATATCAGCACCTCAGGGTCAGAACCATTCCTTGCCTCCCCAAAGTCCCAACTGATACCAAAATCCAGATCTACGGTGGAGCAACTGGACCTCAGTGCACCCCAATCATATGTCCACCTCCTTCCTTGGTTACCAACACTCCCTTGTACAGCCTGTGAGGGCAGGCCCTCCTCTAGAGAGTGAAACAACAAGTAGAAAGATGGCGGTCCCTTCAGCCATTTCAGATAAAGCAAATATTTAGTCCCTGCCTTCCTTTGTTGCTTGGAAATTCCCACCGATTCCCTCGGATGAAGAAATAAGACAAATAATGGAAGAAAAGGGAATTGTTGTGGCAATTATCAGACTGGAAGTGAGTCTGCCTGGAATTCCTCTCTCTCTTTCGCTCTTCACAAACCCTCTTCCCGTTTTCTAACCTGGCTAATAACTCCTAAGCATCCTTTAAATCAATGTGTATGGCAGTCCCTACACACTGTGAGCCTTACAGAGCCTTTACTATTACACAATCCCAAACACTCTTTAATTCCCTAATTAATGTTCAACACATTTATAATAATTTATTTAAAATCCATTTTGTTCTACATTAGCCTGTAAACCTTTTTGAGGGCAAGGACCATGTTTGTCTTGTTCACTATTTTAACTTCAGTGTTGAGCACACAGTAAGTCCGCAACATTGTTGAACCAATCAATTATGCAGCAAACTAAAAGCTAAGTACAACATTCTAAGATTTTGTAGGTCTTAGCCACCTAAGTCTTAGAAATACTTTTAAGAATATGATCACTTGGCATGACAGAGATCAAGGTCTACCTCACCAATATCTCGGCTCTGTATTTTGGGGAAAGCAACGTCCTCTACAGATAGAGTAGGGCTTCCAGGAAAGCTCTTCAGGGGAGGGTGATTCTACCAGGAAGCAACACCCGTTGACCTGGCCCATCTTCCTACCCGAGTGCAGATGTGATAGCTGGAGCAGAAATGGTCATGCTGTAGACCTAGGCAAACCTGAGGCTGGAAGCCAGCACTAAGCACCATGAAGCAAAAAGAAGCTGTGGACTTCTTTTATGTAAGAAAAAAAAATTAAGCACTGCTTTGTTTAAACTCTTGTTTTTGTGATGATGTTACAACTGAATCCAATTTAATCTATATCCTAAGTTTCTAAAGTGAGATTCCAGAATGATCTTGGGTTTAGAAACAAACCTTACAAGTCCTTTTCCAAGCTAGAGTTTATTTTTGTTTTCTATTTCTTTCCTGAGGAGTTTCAAAGCACTTAAAGTACTTATTTCCATTTACTGAACAGATTACTCCTCATATTTCTGAAAATGTCTACACAAAGGGGTGACTGGGAACTCAGGCCCACATCACTATCATAAGTACACAGGCTCTTGATGTATTCTGAGGTTTGTAAACTCAAAACAACCCCCTCCATAGCACTCTAGAACTTACTGAGTTATAAGACAACTCAACACATATCTGTTCAACTTTAAAACCCTAAAGAGTTCTCAGACTGAATATTCAAAACCTAAAAGGGATGCAATTTTATTTTGTTTATTTCCTTTCAAATTAATATCTGCTTTCACTCATTACCTTATTTGAAGAGCAGGTATTTTCTGATAAAAGATTTTTAAAAAATAAAAACCTGAGCCTTTTACCTTTCTGATATCCTTCTCTAGATAAGGAATGGGAAATGCCAGCCTATTACATCCAGTATCTGTTTCCACTGACACTGACTCAGCATGTATGTTGTTCTTATTTTTTCCACTCCAAGCGAAGCACAAATGTCTCACCTTCTTCAAACAAAGAACTAACCTTCATTTTCAGGTAGGTCACATGATGTTCACTTGGCTGGCCACTTTACACTCCCAAAAGCTAAAGTGCTTTTTAGCATCTCCCCATTTATAATTGGAGCAAACACTGCATAAATCCACCTACTCCTTACCCAAGGCCAGACCAAGAGGAATTTGCTGTTTCATCTGTGCCTGAAACTGCAGAGAATGTATTCTGGTTGGAAAACTAGTCTGACACTCATCTTGCTGTTCAAAACAACCCCTTTTGCTACCCTGAGTCACAAATGCTGATGTGTGAGTCACTTCAGAGAGGCATTTTTAAAAAGTTGGCATGTAACAAATTTCAAAATTTAGAATGGACTATACAATTGCATAAATACCAACATTATAGTCACATATAATAGATAAAGAAAAAGGAATCCCAAGACATGAAAACAGTTATACTAGGTAGAGAATTATTGTTGACAATGTTTTGATCTTGTAAAGCTCCCATAAATATGTACATTTTCAAAGATATTAAGCAATCAAACCTATAAAAAGAAAACCTAAATATCTGAAATCAAAGTATTATTTAGAAAAATCTTTTTTTAATATTTATTTTTTAGGTGTAGATGGACACAACACAATGCCTTTATTTTTATGTGGTGCTGAGGATCGAACCCAGGTACCGCYTGTGCTAGGCAAGTGCTCTACCACTGAGCCACAATCCCAGCCCTGAAAATTTTTAGGAAGAATTTTATCTGTTTGTTTATTTGATTTTTTWAAATTTTTAAAATATATTTTCAGGTTTTCCTCAAAGGACCATTTTGTGTACACAACAAAACCAGCAGCTAAAACTGCCAAATCTACTTATAAGACCCTTTTAAAAGACCAGTTGACTTTATTTGCTCATAGGTGCAAATTCATTAAAAAAAAAAAATTCAAGGCTGTCTAATGGTAGAGTATGGTATGATATACTGACACCTAGAAAGAATATATCCATTCCTAAATATATCTTGTACTAAACAAATATGGATGAAAACCAGGTATATTCTCTCTTCTCCTTTCCCCAGTTAATTCATTTGTGCAGTTGGTCTTGCTGTTCTTTCATGACTGTCAGAAGACAGGCAAAGAGCTGCAGGCTGAGACCCTGGCAATAGTACAAACTAGACTGGAATGTGGTATGTGATTCTGCAATACTCACAGTGAAGGGATGACTCATGCTGGATGGTTATAAACAAAAAGGGAAGCCAGCACTGTCTCCTGGAGACAGGGAGTGAAAAAATAATAATAATTAATATAGMGAGGATGAGCTAGAGCTCTCCTGGGCCCTATTACAGCCACCTGAGACACAAGTCTGACCTCAGATTATTACTCAGAAGACCACCCTTCCTATAACCCAATACAGTGCCTGGCATTTAGTAAGCATGCAGTAAATAAATGTACAATGAATTAGTAAAGAAATGATGCCTTTACTACTTGCTCAAAACCATTCAATCATCAAATGTAAAATTTCTTTCAATTCCTACCCCTCACATCTTATCCCACACATTTAGCGATATTGCTGTTTGCCTCCACTCCAAGAATGAAGCACTGAGTAAGCCTTTTGTTCTTACCAAGGAAAAAGAATCTAAGGGAATTGTTAGAAAAATCCTTAATTCCCATTTTGAATCACAGTAAAATCCTAAAAGAGATTTCTCTTATAAAATGCATTTTGTACAACTCCATGTAATGTACAGAAGCTGATCTGCTACCATCAATTTTCTTGGCAGGATTAAAACAATGTAACAGAAAGGTGCTTGTTACTCTCTAGATAACAGAATGATGCTTTGGTTTTGTTTTTTTATGTAAGATGATACTACTTGAAAGGCCAAGAAGCAGTCACTCAATTACTGACTCCTTCCTGAGAAATACTGGCTCTTATTGGTGAGGCCTTCTTACTCACAGCACATTACCAACTCCATTGTGGCAAAGGGGATTATACTAATTGATGATTCAAACAGAAAACAGTGATGTACTCAGGCTGAAGTTGGTAAGAAGCAGATGTCTTTGCTTTCTCTACTATTCTGAAGCCTCAGGTTTACATCACACAGAAAAGGAGTACACAACTATTTAACAGTCCTGCCCTTGTTCAGCAATTTACACAACCTCAACCTCAGTCACTGTCTCCACATCCTAACCATCTTTACTTCCAATTCTCCTCCCATATCATTTTATAAAAATCTTTATTTATTTTTATGTGGTGCTAAGAATCGAACCCAGTGCCTTGAACATGCTAGGCAAGCACTCTACCACTGAGCCACAACCCCAGCCCCCCCATATCATTCTTATAGAGCACTTGAGAAATTTTTCTTGTTGTTTTTCACAGTGTTGGTTCTGCAGAACTCATTTTCACTCTTAAATATTAATTGCCTGTTAAATARTATATCTCTCTGTTCTTACGACATTGTAGAAAATACCTTGATTCACTGGTACAAATACTCTCCAAGGGTAATTTGCGAATGGATGGGTTTTCTAGGCTATAACATGCCTCATGAAAAACTGGGATTAATGTGAAGCCAACCAGGAGCTCTATCCCAGCAGTCAACACCGAATGGATACAAGCTCATCTCTCTACCTAGTAAAAACATCATATGGTTATTCAAGGGCCAGATACAAGACCTGAAAAAAATTAATCACAATCATAACCTTCAACTAGCCACAGAAAGCATGAACCATTATGCTCAAAGAAAATAGATTTACAGGGGCTGGGGTTGTGGCTCAGTGCTGGAGCACTCTCCTACATGTGCGAGGCCCTGGGTTCGACCCTCAGCACCACATAAAAATAAATAAATAAAGGTATTGTGTCCRATTACAACTAAAAAATAAATATTTTAAAAAGAAAATAGATTTACAATCCCAAATACCCAAAGTCTTTCAGGATTGGAATTATCCTCTCTAATTATATACTGCAATGAATTAGGAGACAGATAAGATAACAAGAATGTACTGAATAGCCTCTGTGCATTCTATCTTCAGGACAAACTTCCATCCAGGTACCCATAGATGCAAATCAAAGTAGGAATCTGAAGCTTTATTCTCTTACTACTTACTAGAATTATTGAGAGACAAAATAATAGAATGAAGAAGAGATAAAGAGGGAGGAGGGAAAATTATACCTTTTAACTTTTTTTAGTTGATGATGGACAGTTATTTTATTTATTTATATGTGGTGCTGAGAATTG